TCTGGTCACCTTATATTAGAGGCATATACATAACATGAGGGGGATGAGCTAGGGGTGTACATGCAATAGGAGGGGGAGGTACTAGAGGCATACATGTGGCAGGAAGTTATATATGCAATAAGATGGGCAGACTCTACAGTTCAGATGGGGCCAAACTTAGTCTTCTCAGAGCTGGCTTGACCTTGCATGTCTCTGAGTTCTTCTCCAGGGGAATAATCTATGATACTTATCAGAGGGGAGGGGCCTACTTTGGGTGGGGCCAACAATAGGGGTCTGATTGCTCTCAGTGGCAGACAACCTTTGGGCAGATAGCCTTCAAGCACTTGACCTTCAAGAGTATGGTAAGTGACCATGTGCTTGCAAACAGCACTTCAAAATTGGCATTATTATGAGGGGACATTGTGGGGAATCACTTTTACTCAGAAGAATATGCCTGGAATGCACCTCCAACTTATGAACGTCAAGGTCTCCCTCCATGGGAGCCCCAGCCTCCTAGACTCCTTAACACATGAGCTTTGAGAGTTTGTGTGCGTGCACGCCCTTCCTGGTTGTTTTCCACACTCCTGAAACATAGCAAAGGTGTCCTGCTGGCCCAGGAGGTCAGTGTTGGGCTGCTAACTGAAAGGTCAGCAGCTAGAATCTAACGGCCACTCTGAGGAAGAACCATGTGGCCGTCAACTTCCAGAAAGATTATAGCCTGGGAAACTGTATGGAGCAGCTGTGTTCTGTCCTAAGGGGTCATTGTGGGCTGAGTTATTACTTACAAAGGTGTAATAATTGATATAAAGTTCAAATGAATGCATAAAGATTGTTGGGGTAAAAATACTAGTATAATCCTTCCCTCTAGAACAGTTTCCTGAAGTGGGCGCTATCGGCCCCTGGAGGAACAATCCAGGGAGTGCTGCAAAAACAGATACCTACACTCTACCCTGGGATATGAGGTTTAAAAGGTTTTTAAATGCCAGGGCGGTGCTGAGTAATTTTTGTTTTCTTCTGAAAAGGGGGTATTAGACCAAAATAAGTCTGGGAATCTATTCTCTATAGCTATAGGTGGGGAGTTTACAGAACTAAAGAAAAAATGGAACTAGCATGCATTAAGTTTATATATAGCAGAATCTGAAGGTTGTTGTACAGCGCTTTAACTCAACAGTGATGATATCGCCCTATGTTATGAGACATGGAATTCAACCATCAGATGAGTGACTTGGAGAGAAGGCCTTATGATTGCTTCCAATCTACGCATTTTACCATTGTATAAAAAAATAAATATTCCAATAATTAAACACACATAAAATGAAACATTTTTGCTCAAAAGACTTAAAATTGTCAAGTGAGTACGCTCACTAGTTGGAAACCACATATAACTTCAGTTCAAATAACCATCCATCATCTGGAGCGAATTCATAATCTACTTAACAGTTTTACTCTTTATCCCAAATCACACCCAGAATGAATGAAATGGCTAGACTAAAATTTCCCTCAACAAAATATTGAAGTTGAATTCATAATCAAATACCTTACCAATATCTACTCTGTCTGCATTTTAAAGCTTCTGATAAAAAATAAAATGAATACCAAAAGAAAACACTTTTAATAGAGACAGACCCTGAACCTAATCTTCATTTGGTTGGTTGGGTTTGGTTGTTTATTTACCTTCAAAGAAACCGAGCTGACAACAACTCACTGCCATGCAGTTGATTCAAACTCCGAGATCCTACAGGACAGCGTAGACACTGCTCCAGTGGGTTTACGAGACTGTAGCTCTTTATGAGAGTAGAAAGTCTCTTTTTTTCTCTCAAGGAGTGGCTGGTAGTTTCCAACTGCTGACCTTGTGATTAGGTTAGCAGCCCAATGCATAACCACAACAGCGATATTTACACTTTATCCTAGATTACAGATGATAGTGCAAAAGTTTTCATTGCCAGGGAATGCAGAGTAATTTTTCTTCCCCCCTAAAAAGGTAGTGGAAGGCCAAATAAGTTTGGGAACCTATGCTTTAGATCCAGAGGCTTTTCAGAATGCCTGACAATGACCTCGATTCCAAATGCCCTACCGAAACACTGCTAAGAATGAAGGATGGTCTCTGGGGAAATACAGCTAGAATACTTCGTAGAAGCCAGGATGGCAGGGGACTTCGTCTCACCTACTTCGGACATGTTATCGGGAGAAACCATGCCGTGAAGAAGGACGTCGTGCTTGGCAAAGCAGTGGCTCAGGACAAAAGAAGACCCTCAATGAGATGGATTGACACAGTGGCCGCGAGAAGGGGCTCAAACTTGACAGCGGGGAGGAGGGCACAGACCTGGCAACGCTTCTCTCTGTTGTGCACAGGGTTGCTAGAAGTCTGAGCTGATTCAAGGGCACCTAACAACAAGCCCTGCTCGCTCCAGCTCAGGTGAGAGCCCCATCTCTTTCTGGTTTAGACCACAACCTTGGTAGACAGGTATGCGATGGTTCCCTGGGTCATTTGATAGTGATTATTAGCATTTGGTCAGCATCCACTCTGCACAGGCAGGATGGGACTGTTGTGACTGATCCTCTCAACACCCCCTGCAAAGCAGGTTTTCTTTGTCCAATGTTTTGGAGACAGAAACTGAAGAGTCAACTGGAAGAGCCGGCTTCAAACCCTGGGCTGCCAGGCCGCCCCGCCCAGCTGGCACACAGTCCAGCAAAGCACCGACGTACCTGCCTTGAGCAGCACCTTAGCACAGTCCAGGTGCTCCCTCGCACAGGCAACATGCAGAGGAGTCCCAAAGTGGCAATCGTGTGCTTCAAGGTTGGCCCCAACATCAATAAGAAGCCGCACGCATTCAGAACTTCCTTAAAATAAATGGGAAAGGAAGAAGAGTCAGTAAACACACACGTTTAAACTAATCAGCATGCCACACATAGCTGGAGGTCAGGCCAGGCTTGGTTGTGTGGGTGGGTAAGAGCAAATGAGAAACATGACCTCATCTAAGAACACCTGACTGCTGTCAGGTGTCCTTGTGGATGCAAGAAGGCTCTGCTATTTCTTAGAGGCGTGGGCTAGCCCACCATGCCGTTGGTAGTGGAAAGGAAGACATGACCAGTGCCTTTGCTCTCAGAACTATTTTTGGAAATGAACATCACGAATAGGCAGAAAAGATTCCCTCACCATTCCCAGGGGTCCTCAGTAGAAGAGAAAGTGTTTGCTACCACCTAATCCACAAACCCGAGTCTTGAAGCCAAGCCTAATTATTGATGGATTCCCCTATATTTTCTTATCAAGCGAATTCCCCTCCAGCCTCCCTGACAAACCTTTTTCTGCCTCTGGCTCCTCCTCTTTCTGCAAGGAGGGTGTGGGAATCAAGCACCAGGTCATGGTCTCCTGCTCTGCTCTCCTTCATTGGCTTGTTCTCAGATGCTGCCTCTCTCATCACTTAATTACCTTTTCCTTGTAGACAACTACCACATCCCACCTGTCACCTTGACACCCAGGGCTACAAAACGCAGGGCGACTAACGCAGTCTGCTTAAAACTAGACACAACTCCAGCCTCCCTTCCCTGGAGTCCCCACTCATTCACAACCTGTTTCAGCCAGGAGCGTCATTTCATGCTCAGATCTCGGAAGCAAGTTTAATTCCTTGCAGCTCCCCATCACGCCAATTCCTATCCTTCTTCCCCCGAGGCTTTTTAAGTAAATCCACTCTGTTCTGCCCATTTCCAGGTCACCACCCTAGTGCTTTTCACTTGGACCATTGCTGTAGCCTCTCCTCATCTCTCTGCCTCCAAGATACCGCCCCCCCACCCCCATGTGTTCATGTGTGTACACACACATACATGCGCGCACACACACACATTTTCAGTCTTCTGATATGCAAATAGCTGTGAAATGGACCATTCTAAAATTTTATTTCCCTGTCATTCACCATCTGCTCAGACTCTTACTAACTGCTAGAAGCAAAGCCCAGCATGCTTGTGGCTTTCTGGAGGTGCGAGGTAACAGCAGGCACATCGGCCTGTACATCCCACCCCCCACACTCAAAGACAAACACACACCACGCCAGCCAGTCAAAATATAGGCCACCGGTGGTTTGCAACCTTTGCTCCAAAGAGCAAACTCTAAACTCCTTAGTCTTAAAAAAAAAATTTCCATCAGCCTTTTCTTATCCCAAATGTCTAGTCTTATCTATACTTGGAACATGGATCCAGTAAAACAAGTCATTTCCCCAGTGCCTGGAGTGGCCTTCTTGGTCATCTATCTGTTCAGGTCCAGTTCTGCCCCACCTGCCCCCTGAGCAGAGCCACAGCAGGGCCACCCCTTCCCTGAGGGCACACTGGCTGAGTTCCTCCCTGGCCCAGCCCTAGACCCAGGTCATCCTTATGGGTTTGCGTCTTGCCTCCTGTTATGGATTATAATGTGCTTCCAAAAGTTTGTATTGGATAGTGAATGATGGGGGGAGTGAGGAGTGGAGACCCAAAGCCCATTAGTAGGCCACTGGAGATCCTCTTGCAGAGGGGTCTCGGGGAGGAGATGAGCCAGTCAGGGTGCGATGTAACAATGATGAGAAATGCAACTTTCCTCTAGTTCCTAAATGTTTCCTCCCCACTCCCACTACCATGACTAGAATTCGACCTTGCAAGTCTGGCTAGACCAGAGGATGTACACTGGCACAGATAGGAACTGGAAACACAGGGAATCCAGGGCGGATGAGCCCGGCAGGACAGTGATCTGAGCGGCGATACTGGGAGGGTAGAGGGAGAGTGGGTTGGAAAGAGGGAACCAATTACAAGGAACTATATGTGACCTCCTCCCTAGGGGACGGACAACAGAAAAGTGGGTGAAGGGAGACGTCGGACTGGGCAAGATATGACAAAAGAATAATTTCTAAATTATCAAGGGCTCACGAGGGAGGGGGGAGTGGGGAGGGAGGGGGAAAAAATGAGGACCTAATGCCAGGGGCTTAAGTGGAGAGAAAATGTTTTGAGAATGATGAGGGCAATGAATGTACAAATGTGCTTTACACAATTGATGTATGTATGGATTGTGATAAGAGTTGTATGAGCCCCTAATAAAATGATTTAAAAAAAAAAGTTTGTATTGGAATCTTGACCCCTGTACCTATGGATGCAATTTTGTTTGAAAATAGGGTGGTCCATTCTAGATTTGTTCTAGATTTAAATACTTTCTGTTTGTTTCTTGACAGAGGTTTTTGCTCTGGTTTATTTTATTATTGCCGGGAGTCTTCTCTTACACACACACACACACACACACACACACACAGTTTTTGTTCTTTTCGCTTTTTTTGGTTTGGGTATATTTCCCAATTTATGAAGCACGAAGGGATGGATGAATAGTGACAATAACTCATATAAAACTTTTGGGGGACGAAAGGAGGTTGAGGGGATGTGGGGAACACATAATGAATACGGAAGGGGGAAGGATGCACTAGAATTGATTGTGGTGATGTGTATGACTCCTTTTAAATACCACTGAACTATGGACCTGTATGATATGTGAATTATAGCACAATAAAACTACTGAAAAAGCCTAGAAGTAGGTGCTTTGTTATGTTAATTACTTCAACCCCATGTAAGGCTGTTTTTTGTTTTGTTTTGTTCAGGTTGATTCTAACTTGAATCATTCCTGAGTTATAAAAAGCACACATCATAAACTGAGGGACACACACACACACACACACACACGTAAGGAAAACAGACATCATGTGAAGATCATTTACAAGCCAAGCATCCAGTGAACTCACGGGACTACTTACAAGGAAGGGATCATCACAGCCAGGTCTCTGGTTTGGACTTCGCGTCTCTAGAATTGGGCAAAAATAATTCCTGACCTTTACAGCCGACCCCTTTGGGGAACTTCAGGAATAGCGGCACTAGGAAGCTCAGCACTTTCCAACGGGATCAGGATCTTCCTTGGGCAAAGCTGTAGCAGACCCGGTGAGAGCCCACAGAGCTGACTGGTCTCTCTTATTAACATCTTAGTGCCCTGCGAGACTTGGCTAAGAACAGAATCCATCTCCTTGGACGAAAACTGTATCTCATGTAGGAAAAGTCTGATATCTCCACAGCTGAGTGACCTGGGAGCAGAACTCTCCTTTCTCCAGTCCTGCTTTCTCTACCTCCTACCTGTATTACTTCCTTCCCAAACTCTTAGCATCCCAGAAAGAGGAGTAAAACTTGTGTGTGGTACTGACTGTAGGAAATACGAAGGGGGACAGGCCTCGTGTGGCTCAGGGGTTGTTCTCCCAGGGGAGCAGAAGCCCAAGGGACCCTAGGGCGACAGGGCGCTGGGCCTGACTCACCACTCATGCAGGCCTCGTGCAGCGGGGAAGCTGTGTACAAGGGTGGGTTGACCTTGGCTCCGTGGGAAAGCAACAGCTTCACACACTCCACGCTGCCGGAGGCACAGGCGTCACAGAGAGGGGTGCTGCCATCGATGTTGCGGGCCTCCACCTCAAGGGGAGAGAGAAACAAGTGTCAAAGGGTGGGGGGAGCTGAGCCATTCACCTCTTCATCCATATGCCTCTCTGCAAAGATAGGAGGAGGCTTCAAAGAGTCCAGGGGGAAAAGAGAATGGAAAGACAATGGGCTTTTCGAAGCCCTCTTGTACTTAGAAGCACCAACTTTGTGCTAAGTCAGTCGTTCTCAACCTTCCTAATGCTGCGACCCTTTGACACAGTTCCTTATGTGGTGGTGACCCCAACCACAACATTATTTTCGTTGCTACTTCATAACTATAAGTCTGCTACTGTTATGAATCGTCGTGTAAATATCTGATATGCAGGATGTATTTTCATTGTTGTAAATTGAACATAAAGCGTAGTGATTAATCACGAAATATGTAATTATATATTGTGAAATACTTATGTGTTTTCCAATGGTCTTAGGCGACCCCTGTGAAAAGGTAGTTTGGCCCCCAAAGGGGTCATGACCCACAGGTTGAGAACCACCGTGCTAAGTGCTAAGGCACCATGCTAGGCCAGGGGGGTTAGAGAGAGAGAGAAAGACAGGAGGAAAAGACTGGGACCATCCTTCTAAGCTTTTTAAGTGTAAAAGCTGTCCTGTTTGGGGCTCTGTTTCCTCAACTCCCAATAAGCTCAGAGTAGGCGAGGAGCGCAAGCTGCCAGTTGGGGAAGGCAGGACATAACCATGGAAGTTTTAACTGGGGCCTCAGGTAAGAGGAGTACCTGAAGTTCATTCATACACCTCCTCTAGTCTGAAAACAGGAGCCCTGGTGAGATAGCAGTTACACGTTGTGCTGCGATCCGAGTGGCTGGCAGCTCAAAACCAGCAGCTCGGAGGAAGAAGGGCTGGGCTTTCGACTCCCGTAAAAAATAGCTGTCTCAGAAACCCACAGGGGCTCGCTATGAGTCAGCACTGACTCAATGGCAGGGAGCTTGGTTTTGGGGTTGTGTCTGGAAAATACAGGGGAGGGACAAGGCAGCTCCCCAGGCAGGCTCTACTGAGAATGTGTCCCAACTCAGCTTCTGTTTGCTACGTGCTGAAACTTATTTCAATTCCTCTTTGACTGCCTTCCTAGCCCAACTCTTCACAAATGTAGGCTGTCCATAGACTTCACCTGTAGCCCGACCCTGGGGATCCAAGGTCTGTGGCCCCCACTTTGCTGAAACTGCCTTTTCTCCGGTTACTGGTGACCTCCTACGACTGAAATCCACGGACCTGTCTCCGTTCTTACTTCCCAGTCCCCAGTGTGATGGGCAGTGTCTTCTCTTCCCTCCTCCCTTCACTTCCACTACATTCTCTTCTGGTGCCTCTACCTTCCCAGTCTTCTCCCTGCTGCCTCTCTTCCCACGTGTTTGCATAGCCCAGGATCGCCACTCCCAAAGCCCTTTCTTTTCCTCATTTTACAATTTCCTGACTTGTTCCCACTCCTTCCCATGGCTACAGCCAGCCTTGGCCTCTGTCTGAAGGGGGCCACTCACCCGGGCCCCGGCGGCCAGCAGCAGCTGCACGCACTGCGCCTGGCCTTGCAGACTGGCCGCATGCAGGGGCGTGATGGAGTCCACCGTGACCTGGTTGACGCAGGCGCCACTCTCTATCAGGTGCTGTAGCTGCAACGTCTCCCCCCGCTGGGCTGCCTCATGCACAGGGGTCCGCTCCAACCAAAAACCTAGCAAGGAACATGACAAGAATGTTAACCCTATGCCACATCTATGCCACACACATTAACAGGTAAGCCTCCAGGGCCTCTTGCAATATTCATATCACTGTATACGGACCAGTCCAAATCCTGTACTTCGAACCCTCAGCCATCCCTAATGCATGTTGAGTCCAAACATCTTGGCATGCCATATACGGGTCTTTGTGCTGTGGACCTTGCTCACTTCTCTGACTACCTCTCCCACAAATGCCCCCCCAAACCCACATCCTAACACACACTCGTAGTACTTCATCACTGCCCCCTTGTTTCACATGTGTACCTTTACATACGTCCTCTGCATGAAATGCCTGCCCCCACGTCACCCTCCCCATGCACTCTTCGATCTCCTCTTTAAATGTTTTCACACACGTTCAAGTAAAAAAGTCGTACTTCTAGAATTCTAGTGCTTCCAGAATTTCTTGGGATTGTTCCCAACAAAATGTGTTTAAATATCGCTCTGTCACCAGCGGGTGGCGTAAGGGAAGTTCTTTCAGTAACACATCTGTCTTCACAGCAGCCTTTCTTTGCACAAAAGGTTCCATCAAAGCAATGGCTTCTGAAGGGATCGGCTGGGCCAGTGAGACCAAGGCACAGAAGGTTACGGTAACTGGAGGGATTCAGAAGGGGTCATCTTGATGGATTATCTCAAAGGAAACAGGATGGTCAAGTGGGCTCATTGTGAAGAAGTTTTAAGAAAACTGAAACTGCATTGGTGAGAAAAGGCCAGGGAGGTTGCGCCGAGAAACTGTTTCCCACCGTAACAAGGCAGCTGCTCCTTTGCTGAGGGTGGGCAGCTAGGGCCATCCGAGGAGAACTTCATGGGGAACCCTGACCCCATCCACCCGACACCCCTGATCGTGCCCCTTCACTCTGTTTGTTCCCCAAACTCGAAGGACTTATAAAAGGGACAAGATCTGCACCTTGTAAGGACGCAGAAACTGCCGTTTTGACAGGGTGTCAATAAAAGACAGGAAAAAGTCAGGGAAATGGAAACCCTACCTTCAGAAATGTAAAGACCTCGATGGGGGACATGTTGGGAAGCAACAGCTTCACATGGTGCTATTTGGGTTTTAATAGAGCTTTCTATGATTTTATAGCAATATGTGGGGAGAGGAGGGCCTCCAACAAATCATCACAAGTCCCGTAGGTGCAATTGTACTGCAATAATAAGTAAAGATGATAGTAAAGTTAGAGAGCATGAGAGATAGGAGATATCAAAATAATAGTCAGACACAATTCGTGGTAGCATGCTCACCTCAGCCCCGCTTGGTGGTCCTCGTGGGGAGAACCCAGCCACGAGAGCAGGAGAGAGCCCCAACTTTATTGCTAACCAAGGGTTATATCTCCTTAGGGGGGCATGATTACAGGTAACCACACGTCACAGGAAGGGGCAGTACAATAGGCATACACATCGTAGGAAGGGGATGAGCTAGGGGTGTGCCTATAGGAAGGGGAAAGTCTAGGGGTATACGTGTGACAAGATGGGCAGACCCTAGATTCATGATGGCGACCTAACCTTGGTCATCCTTGGGTGGGTTTGACCTCTCTGGGGTCTCCTACAAGGAAACAGACAACTACTATCTTTATCAGAAGGGAGTGGGCCCTACTTGTGGGATAAACAGTGGTGTCTGCTTGGTCTAGATGGCTGATAGCTCTTAGGGAGAATAACCCTGATCTACTCCTGATGACCTCTGAGCATATAGTCATTTTCAAGCAGCTAAGTTTGGCATTTTTTGGGGGGAGACAACTTGGGAGAAATCCTTCTGTTTCCCGCAGCAATACTTTCTGCCTTACCCTTATTCCCCCAGTTGAAATATCTCCTTCAACTCCAAGTTGAAATATTTCCCTCTCCCACAATACTCGAACATACACACTCATATCACAGCACTTATACCATCTCCCCTTATTGCCCAGGAGTTTCTTGAAGGTAGGAAACACGCTTCATTATTCCACCTCAGTGAATTCCCTGGTGGTGTAACAGTTATGCATTGGGCTGCTAACCACAAGGTCAACCGTTCAAAACCACAGGAGAAAGACAGGGCTTCTACTCCAGTAAAGAGTTACAGTCTCAGAAACTCTATGACAGTGAGTTTTAATGAGTAGATACCTTAGGATTTTCCATAGACTGAAAATATTGTTTTACTTCTTGAAGTCTGGATATTTCTTTTCTTTTCTTGCCTACTTGTCCTGCCAGAACCTCTAGTACAGCGGTTCTCAACCTGTGGGTCGTGACCCCTTTGGGGTTCGAATGATCCTTTCACAGGGGTCCCCCGATTCACAACAGTGGCAAAATTACAGTGCTAAAACAGCAACGAAAATAATTTTATGGTTGGGGGGTCACCACAACATGAGAAACTGTATTAAAGGGTCGCAGCATTAGGAAGGTTGAGAACCACTGCTCTAGTACAATGTTGAATACAATTAGTAAGCACAGATATCATTGTCTTGTCCTTAGAAGACAAGCATTCAGTCCTTTGCCATTAAGTATGATGCTAGCAATGGGGTTTCAGTAGGTGGCTCTGACCAGATCTAGCCAACTCCCTTCTATTCCTTGTGGAGACCCAAGCCCATCAGCTGGCAATTGGACATCCCCTTACGGAAGGGTCACGGGGAGGAGATGAGCCAGTCAGGGT